AAATGTTTGCAGCATTTCCATTTCCCCTATTTTGATGGGAGAAGAAAGAAGAAAAGAAAAAGCATGGGGCCCCTAGTGATGTCACCACCCTTTTAAGACACAAAAAGGAAAAGGGGTCTTCAGTATCCATCGGTGGAGTCATGAGCAGTCTTAATAAAAACAGCATTTTAGAACATATTTCAGAGGTTTCTTAGGATGCAAAATGTGTTTTTTTAAAATATATTTTATTGATTTTTTACAGAGAGGAAGGGAGAGGGATAGAGAGTTAGAAACATAGATGAGAGAGAAGCATCGATCAGCTGCCTCCTACACACCCCCTAACTGGGGATGTACCCGCAACCAAGGTACATGCCCTTGACTGGAATCGAACCTGGGACCCTTCAGTCCGCAGGCCGATGCTCTATCCACTGAGCCAAACTGGTTAGGGCAGGATGCAAAATGTTTTTAAATGATAAGCATAATCTTTTATTAGAGATATTTTTTTAAAAACCTCAAATGTTTGCAAATTCAATGTTTTTAAAGAGATTCATTAAAAAGTCCATAAATTATTACTTAAAAAAGAAAAAAAATCTTAAAACAAGCCATTTCTTTACTAATAACCTAAGAATTTACATGCAAATACTAAAGTGAAAAAAAAAATAAAAGGAAGAAAACATGGCATTTCATGCATTTTAAAAAATGTAATAAAGTCCTGTGGCTCAGCTGGTTGAGCTCAGTCTCTTGCACCGAAAGGTCACTGGTTCGATTCCCAGTCAGGGCACATGCCTAGGTTGCAAGTGCGATCCCCGATCAGGGTGCTCACTGGAGGCGGCTGATTGGTGTTTCTCTCTCACATCCATGTTTCGTTTCTCTTTCTCTCTTCCTTTCCCTTCCTCTTTCTCTAAAAGTCTCTTTTTAAAAAACCATATTAAAATAAAAAGAAAATGAATTTTTAAAAAATGTAATAGAAAGCCTGATTGCCCTGTACAAGAAGTAGCCACAAAAACAGGATGACTAATACACTATTATAATGTTCACTTCAGAACATACATTATGATTAAATGTAAGGGGGAAAACCAAAACAGTATACAGTGGGGCCTTGACTTACGAGTGTCCGGACTAACGAGTTTTTCGAGACCCGGGCCGTCTCTCGGCCAATTTTTTGCTTTGAGTTGCGAGCTAAAATTCGGGTTATGAGCCAGCTTCAGATACCCCACCGCTAGTTGGCACAGTGAACGTCACAGTGAAGGCCACAACATCACGTGTCTCACTCGTTCACATTTTGATTTGACATACGAGTAATCTGAGTTACGAGCTCCATCACGGAACGAATTAAACTCGTAAGCCAAGGCCCCACTGTATAAATATTTGGCAGCTGTCTTCTTGCTTTAGCTCTGATGTTATAAACAAGTGGCCTTTTGGTGGTTTATTTAGTGCCATGTTTTTCACACTTTTGTGCTTTTCTTTTTTACCCTCACCCAAGAATATTTTTTTCCATGCTTTTCAGAGAGAGCACTAGTAGAGGGGACACAGGGAGTGAGAGAAACATGGATGTTAGACACATGGACTGGTTGCCTCCCACAGGAGCCCTGACTGGGGCGGGGAGCGAACCCAGGTATGTGCCCTTGACCGGATATCAAACCCCAGACCCCTCCATGCACAGTCCGATACTCTAACCCAGTGGTTCTCAACCTTCCTAAGGCCGCGACCCTTTAACACAGTTCCTCATGTTGTGGTGACCCCAATTCATTGTTACAAATTGAACATAATTAAAGCATAGTGATGAATCACAAAAACAATATGTAATTGTATATGTGTTTTCCGATGGTCTTAGGCGACCCCTGTGAAAGGGTGGTTCGACCCCCAAAGGGGTCGCGACCCACAGGTTGAGAACCGCTGCTCTGACCACTTAGCTACTAGCCAGGGCACTGTTGTACTTCTTGTTGGTGACTCACTGTGCTACGTGCCCCCGAGCACAGAGCTGTGTGGGGTCTAGTGTCCCTAGAATGTGGGGCTGTGACGTGCCTTATGGCAAAGATACATGTGTTGGTGCACTTTGTCCAGGCCTGAGTTACAGGGTGTCGGCCGTGAGTTCCCTGTTAATGAATCGACCATATAGATTACATAGGTGCTTTAAAACACAAGTGTACAGAAGACAGGATTATGTGTCGATGGACTGATGAAAATGTCGCGATCAGAGGCTCGCAGGAACCTAAACCTGTTTCTCTCTCTCTTGGGAGCAAGTTCAGCATTCGCTAATTCAGTGTTTGCGGAAACTTTGTGGAACACAACTATGGTGAATAATAAAAATCCCAATCAAAATGTTTGCATTAATGTTTCAGTAAAAAACTCTTCCTTCTGTCATTTACTTCAAACATCATCAATAGATTTGTGCAGCTTGAGACGGAAACCCTTTGCCTCCACTCTAACAGGTCACAGCCACGTGTGTTTCTCTTCGCACAGAAAGGTAATCTCTCTTGAAAGCAATTGGGTTTCCAATGTGAAAGTCTAAGGGGGCACTGTTTACACATGACTCTTTTGTGGGGTTATGATTTTGAAAACTGCATTGTTTAAAATAACATGGACAGTACGAGCAATGACAATAAAAACGCGGCATAGGAATTTTAACATAGCAGCACAAATTGGAACTCTTACCTTTCTTGCCCAAGTCAGATATTTTATTGGAAAAAAAAAAAAGAGTGAGAGATTACAGTACTTAAAAATTCAAACACAAGGACAATTCAGGGTTGAAAGGAAACCTGAAAAAGCCCATTGTCTTCAGTAAAATTCTGAATACAAAAAAGGGAGACCCGGGAAACAGTTTATGGCCGAATGCACTAGTTTCATGATAAACACACACACAGAGCACATCTCCATCAAGTGAAACTCAATCACCTTTTTACAATTTAGAGAGGAGAGGCAGCTCTTACTGTGGCTAAGCCATGTATCATCAATACCATGAAGCTAGCCTATCACTTGTAATAGCTTCTATAAAATACCACAGTGAGGCTGCAATAAGCCTAGAAAATGGGCTACAAATCCCAGCGATGCTCGGGCAGGCAGTGAAGCAAAAATAAAAATAGGTAAAACTGAACCAAGAACTGGAGAGCATTCATCCCGATTCATGACTGGGAAGGCAGAGTTCACAGGCCAAGGTTTTAAAGTGACGTGTTCAGATCCAAAAGACAGTCATTATACAAAACAAAAGCATTTATGTAATTCGGGGGGGGGGGGGTCGTAAATTCTCAGGGCACAGGACATAGCACAAAAAGCTTACTTACGATGACAAAACACAACATTGTCCCTCTAAAACAGTGGTTCTCAACCTTGGCTGCACATTACAATCACCTGGGAATCTTTTTAAAATCCTGATTTCTGGGCCCCATCCTCCGGAAATTCTGTTTCTTTGTTATGGGGTGAGGCCACAACATTTGTAACAAAGAAAAAGAATTTCCGGAGGATGAGGCCCAAAAATCAGGATTTTAAAAGGATTCCCAGGTGATTCTAATGTGCAGCCAAGGTTGAGAACCACTGCTCTAAAACATCACATTAAATATGCGAAGGCAAAGAGACGCAAGTGCACTTGATCGCTTGCGATCTCCCCAGTTTAGACAAATAATCTAAAAGATGCCACACGTTTCAGATTGTAACAACTCTGGGTAAAGGAGATGCCAACTTTCAGTTTCTTTTCCATCATCATATTGAAGTTAGCCATTAAATGCTGAATTAACAATCCACACAGTAATATAAAAATACATGTATTAAATCACAGTTTTCATCAATTATTGGAATGTAACAAAAATAGTCATCATTTTACTAATAACCGTTCAGAAAAACGCAATGACCCGAACATTTTGTATAATGTTCTAAATTCCACCATCGGCAGAGCTGTGACATTGCCCCTCTGCACGGTGACAGCGAGCTCATGCAGGTACTTCTGACACAGCGACACATGTGGTCTGTCATTCTAAGGGCATGCACGCAGCTCTCACTTTTGAGCGTGACAACATGATTCAGAGTCGTACAGCATTTGCTGAAATATCAGCTTTCACATGATTTCAATATGCTCTAAACTGAAAGGATCACTGGGATTGCTTTCAAGTATTGGGCAAAGCGCATAGTTTAAAAGGTAATAGTAAATAATTCTAGCACACACTAGTTATCACAGCGGCTGGTTTAACACTAGGATGATGCTGGCAGTACAATGAATACCATAGTATAAAATACAATGCGTTTTCCATACAGAGCACATTATCCACGTAGGCAGCAAACTTAAACAAAATACAAACTCTGGCAAAAACAAGCAACCTCACTACTACTCATCCTAGCCCTTGTTAAAATACCCTGAGTAAAAGGCAAATACTTTAAACAATGCTGGTTATCGAAGATTTCTCTAAAAACGAGCCTTAAATGTGAACGTGTCACCATTTTTTTATTTACAACAGTCAGATAATGTAGAAACGAGCTCTTCACCGGTCACGATATAAACATTGAGGAATACTTATGTGACATCCGGACATTTTAAATTCTCTAGATTTTGTCAGCAGTTTAGCAAAACAGGTGATAGATACATAAATGGTTTCAATATTTTAAAAGTCATAAAAGAGAAAAATATATAAAATGTACAGTAGTTTCTACCCACCCCGGGCCCACCTAGGTCCCTAGAAAGCCGCCCAGCCAGGTTCGCTTGTGACTAAAGGAAGATCCCAGGCCTCCAGCAAACAGGCCCATCTTTCCATCAGGGAGGCTCCCACTCACTGGTACTCCTCCAGGGGAGAGGACAGGAGCCAGGGTCCCTCGAGTGCCATTCCCCAGATGCTCAAAACGTAACTAATTTATGAGCATGAGCAGATTTGGTTTATAGGGGAATCTCACTGGTCCAGTGTGGAGCCTACAAAAAAATGGATTGTTTTTAAGTATAACATTGGGATACGAATAGGGGATGAGGATGTGGCTTTTTATTCCACAGAAATGGATACGTGTCCAAACATAACAAAACTCCGACAGAAAGGCATGCCTACCATTGAAGGTGGGGTCCCTCCAGACTTTTTAATATTCTTGGAAGGCATTCCACGGAGGCGACTGAGTCTAGCTTGGAAACCTGGAAAATCAAAGACGCGATTTAGGAGAGCCTATGATCACGGGAGCATAGGACAAGATCCTGTCAATTACAGAAGTAAGAAAGTTGGAGGAGGGAAAACATCGCGAATGGTAGCAGTGAAAAGGCAAAACTCATACTTAAAAGATCTGAATGAACGGCAGGTCGGGTTCCAGTGTGGTCAGCACACAACTACCGACTATTTACATTTCTTTCCTCTCGATCCCCTTTCTGTCATCCCAGTGTGGTCACGATGGGCCTTTCTCACAGTCTGAAAGCATGAAAGTGTAGCTTGAGGTTCTTTCATGCCCATTTCAGCCTGTCCTCCCTCAACGACTATCCCTAGACTGACCAAGCCCACCGGATGGGACATGCTACTGACCTCTTCTCGCGGGATGCGACATGAGGGGGAAGGAACCCGTTAGGATGCTTTCAAAGACGGGGTCTGGCAAGTGTCTGTCCAGCTCGCTGGGATCTTCCTTCTCCCACCAGGGAATGACCCCCGTGATGCCACACGCTCCGCCCGAGTCCTTTTCGTAAAACCAGTCGCTCTGCTCATCGTCACCTGTGCAAACACGAGAAATGCCCCCAAGACTCAGCTGTGTCATCCCAACAAGCACAGGGGTCAGATTAATGTTTCAAAAGCACAAGACATCAATTAAATGTGAATTTCAGATAAATGGTTACTTTTTAAAAATATGTGTTTTTTTTATTAATTTCAGAGAGTTAGTGAGGGGGAGAGAGAGAGAAACATCAATGATGAGAGAGAATCATTGATCGGCTGCCTCCTGTACCTCCGTTACTAAGGATCAATCCTGCAACTTGGACATGTGCCCTGACTGGGAATTCAACCCTGAACCCTGAGCTCCTGGTTCACAGGTTGACACTCAATCACTGAGCTATGCCGGCCAGACAACAATTAGTTTTTAATATAAATACAGGGTGTGGCAAAAGTAGTGTTATAGTTTTGAGTACACAAAAACAGTTTATTTTTGTATTATTATTTATTAATTAGTGTATTTTCCACATAAACTGTAAACCTACTTTTGCCCACCCTGAATATAGTACTTCTACAGAATCTTTAGTCAAAATACTACATGGGACATACTTCTTTAAAAAAATAATTTGTTATTTATCTAAAATTCAAATTTAACTGGAGATCCTGTATTTCATCTGGCAATCATATAAATAGTCCATAAAAAACTTTTCAGTCTACCCACAGCCCTACTTAAAAAATGTCTTTAACACTATAACAAGAATTACCATCAACAAAAAGATAAAATGTTATG